TAATTGATTTATGATATTTAGAATGATAGAAGCAGGAAAAACGCATTGAGGTTTTTCCTATTCACTAGCAAGTTAATTAGATTTTGGATTATACATTCAAACTGGATCAGATTGAATTTTATCGTATCATGCTTCTAATTCTTTATGCTTTGTTTACATGGAAAGGTAATTATTATTAAAGCTTAGAAGATGTTTTCGTTGCTGTCTCAATTTGACATTCATAATTAAAGAAGTTTTATTTAACATAGAATGTTTAAACACCTTTCTTTCTTTCTCTTCAATACCATTTACTATATCTGGAGCACAATTAAAGGAAGCAGGTTATTTGATGAACTATAACTTTTGATTTAGGTAATTTTTTGAATATGTGAGTAACATTTGATGTTTTCACGTGCAACATGATGATCAAGCTGAAGATGGCCTGAAAAAGGAGTGAACTTGACTGTAACAAAATTAGGTGACTAATTCGGAAACTTGTCCACTACGTAAATACACTTTGACTTGCAATTCTGTTGGTTGCAGTTTGCTGAGGCAATTCAAATGTCACTTCCCATTCAGAACCTTCCACATGACCTGTACAGTCAGCTACTTTGAGATAACTCTTAAAAAATGCATTCTTGTTGGTAGAACTATTAATTGTAATAAAGTACCACCTGGAGACAAAAATGAATGACTTTCTGTAAGCATAAATGTTTTGGGAGAAGTTATGGTGGTTATTGACCCCATTTATGCTTGTATGCTTAGGGTTTGATGATTGTAATGTGTATCTTTAAGCTTTCAAACTTTCAGCTTTGTACTAATTGTAACTGTTTACCATATCTATTTCCATTCTTGCTTTGTGCATTACTTGGTCACATATCTCGTGACCAATTCGTAATATCAATGTTTAGTTAATCGGTATGAGCATAGGTAAGAAACACCATGCACTATTGAAAGCTTGAGCAAGAGTATTTAATGCTATCTAAATAATAATATTACATGTTACAATGGGGTTACCTGCACAGCAAAATTAAATAATCACACAATTTCAAACAAAGGAAGTCAGGTTAATCCCTAAACTTTGAGCAAATTATTCAATGTCAATGATACACCTTGAAAATTACCATTATGATATCTTAAGAGTAAAAATTATTAGTAACGAATAATTTGATTGCAGTAAGTAGAAGTGCCTAGCAATCATCAAAATCTACATTCTTCTACTCTTCCATCTTAAAGGGTACTTTATATACAAAAAAATTGAAGTTCAGTGCCTTTAGTAGCTTTTTTGGCTACAAAGATCAACAAAGAACAACAGCTATACCAAAAAATATTTTTAAAGACACCTCTATAATGGTAGGTATACACAATTGACATGAATGAGTGAAGCATGTCAAGCCTTAAGGTATGATTGTCAAATCGCTTTTCATTACTTGCAAACAGCTTATTTCTAGCAGCTTTGAAAACTTCTGTATCTCTGCTTTCAAAGAAAAGCATTTTCCATGAAAATTTAAACGTTAAAGACATATTAAACTACCAGCAACAGGTTCTTCTTTTGTAAGTGTTTCCTAAGATCAGGTTCTCATTATAGTTTTTTTACATTTGAAAACATAAGTCTATTTTAGTCATTAAAATAAAATGAAATGCCCCATTTGAACCCTTTAATACCCAAGATCTAATTATTAATTCTCCTCACTGTCTATCAAATGGTTCTCATTATGTTTGTTTGGAGAAATTAGTATAGGATCAATTAATAATCCCATAATTAATATCTTTTCTTTATTCTCATCACTTGTCTGCATGATATTGTATATATATAGTAAGGAGAAATTCTGTCTTGGTCACTCACAGGAGTTAAAGGGTTAAGACACATATGATCGTCATATGCACGAGAAAGACAGCAAATAAATATAGCATTATACTTCAGTGAAGTGTTCTTATGTAGAATGAAGTTTCAAACTCATTGAAATTAAGTTGACTTCATGATTGAGATTCTAGTTAAAGAAATGACCTCTTTACAAGGATGAAACGGACTACTATTTATGAATTTTAAAATAGTAAATGCCAAAAACTTTAAGATGCAATTGAAAAAAACTACTAAAATATGGCATATCTATTCATTGAGATTTCAGTCATTAGTTGGCACACAGAGATATAAAAGAGGCTTTGTGAAATCTATTTATTAAACTTTCCAAACGCTGGAACGCTCTTCGCTGGATTTTAGCCTTTTTACTTATGCCTTCTCTTGTTCTCTTTCGCGTTCTCCCTGTTTTAACAACACCATTCATAGGATCTTCGCCGGCCCGGCATGGTATTGGGTACGAGACAGGCTACAGATAAATAAAGAGAGGACTTTTGTGTGACTGTCTGAATATTGGCACACAAACAAAATTCGTTTCCCTTTGCAATCAAAGTACAAATCTAACGATCCCTACCCACAGGATTGCGAAGTTAACCGAGGGGAGGGGAGGAGGGAGGAGGGAAACAAACATTTCATCAACATCTCGAAAGGAGGCAGTCGATCACCATAACGGCTTAACTGCGTTGATGATATCTGATTACGTTGAGTCCCTCACGAGGAATTGAAATCTTGACTTTTGGATTCTGACGTTCTTCTTCTGAGAAACCGATAGACCACGAGCAGTTACTGTTTCCTGCAAGGTTCATCACGCGAGTAGACTGAAAAAAACAATGAAGAAAAAAATGTAGACTCTGGGGATGGGGCGCACCTAAAGTACTATTCGTCACAACTCTAAATCACAGTGCCCTCCATTGAACCGCCCGTAACCTTGGGACCTGCGACAATAGCGTGATACGACTAAAACACCAACAACATATCTTAGAAATCAAGTCAAATTAGCTTCTAAACGCCAAGGTTCGATCTAGATTGGATCAGTAAAACACAGGACTTGTTAGTGACATGTGACTCCTGTTCCGAGAAAAACCAATCTCTCAGCGCGGGAACACAAGAGGATAAAATTAATCCAATCGCGTTTATAATGTGCTGATCTCTTGCGACCCATGGCTGCTGGAGAAGTCGGGAATCGCGTCAGCATGGAGCGCTCCGCGGCTCATAATTCAATTTAGTTACACGAAAAAACTGCTGCGAAGATACCGCTACGGAGAAAGTTATGCTTACCTGCTTATAAAGGCGCTAATATCGAAAAACACTGTTTACGATCGTGATTACAATTTGCGTAAATGTCTGGGCTCTAATTGTCGCAACACAGTAGGATAAACTCTGAAAACATACATTTCAGTAATATGGTGCAAACTTAAAAATCAAATGCTAGAACGGATCTGAAAAATTAAAGCTGTAAATCTACCTGTAAAAAAGCTGAAAGAGAAGAATCTTGTCGTTTGAAGACTCTTTCACGAGAGAAAATTTGTACACCGTCGTAGACAACAAAGATAAAGCTGCTTGGCAGCTTACGTTTTCCACTGGAACGTAAGTTTGCGTGATTTTTTTTTCATTTTAGGACGTGCTTTTTTCAGCCAATAGTTTATATTGCAATATAAAATGATTAAGACCGTCATGGAGTTACGTTCGATTAAGATAACAAAGCTTTTCTATAGGATCTTTGGGCTCTTCCAGGAATAAGATAGATTGTGTGACGCTGCACTCGGAAATGGCTGAACTCAATTTGTTCACACCGAAAGAGTCTCACCTTCGATTCCTTGTGTATCTCAGAATGTTTTCATTTTTTCTACAATCTAAATAAGACAAAATAGTCTTTCTTTAAAAAGTACGACACTTTTTTTCTCACCACGCGTTTTCGGTGCCTTTGCAATGTTGGCAAGATAAAAAAAGATAACTTCAGCCCGCAAACATAACCCGGCAGGTTGGAAAGAGTTGTGTGAAGAATGCTCTGATATTTGTTCTGATACCTGTCAGCTAGAGAACTTAAAAATTGTAAAAATCGTAATATTCGTAGATGTAATAACATAGTGAGATAGGAAGGATTTCTGAGAAAAAATTATTTGTATCACTTTACCGAGAAAAGGAGACGATGAACAGAAATGTCATCGATGCTTGACTCGAACATTAGGCGAGATCTGTACGATCTGTCATAGCTGTGCATGTATAATCTAATTTTTTTAATGTTTTTCTTCCCTTGTCGAATTTTTTTTTTTTCTTAGAGAAAAGCTTGCGTATTTTCAAATTCTGTATGTTTTCTTCATCATTTGTCTCTACGTACTGCAAGATTTATAAATAGAGACACGTTACATCGTCAACTTCGCGTGCAACCCTAAGTGCAGTGTTTCGTATCTCAAGTTTCAAAGTATTGGCCAAAAGATATTCAAAATTTAAATGCACTGGGCAAGAATAAAAATCACGGAAAACAGAAATAGCCATGCACATTAATACGCTTAAGAAAGAATTGTACGGAGCCGAACCACTTTGTTTTTGCTGTTGTCGTTGTTGTTATTTTTCGAAACAAGTTAAAATTTAAATCGATCGTCAATATACCAAACAATTTCTCTGGACTCGATAGCTGCCACTTTCCTAGAATTGCGTGACGTCACTGTGTCACTCAAACACGTATATCTTTCACGCAGTGAAATGATATTCCAAGATTTTTGAGGTTACGAGCCCAATTTAGCGAGAAGTTTGACTGTAAATCCCATAGAACTCATTACTGAGCGGCGATGATATTTGTTTTTTGTGAGCTTATGAAACAGCGAGGATAGTTCACGTAAGTTTTTACGTTTTTGTTTTAACTAGTCGCGTGGCACGTAGAAACTTAAAGAAAGCCTCCTATAGCAACGAAGAAATTCAGTTCAATTTCGTCCATGTGTATTTTCTATTATACAACGAGGTTCGAAAGGAACAGCGATAGAGTGAATGTTTCTCTGCCTCCAGCATAACTTTTATGATGCAAAGTTGTGAGGTTGCAATGTTTGGTGTTCGTTGACTAAGTCATGTAATGCAAGAATGATCAACGTACAGAACAAACCGTGAAAGTAACGTGAAAATTTATTTAATTTAGGCCTCAAGTTGACCCACGAAAAAAAAGTATTCCATGTATTAAGTAAAAGATAAAAACAGGGCAGTCATTCAGAAGTTTTATGATTAAAAAACGTTTCTGAATACTGAGTTCGAATACATTCCCGAGATCTGACAGATTTTGTGAATAAGCACTTGTCGTCTATAGTTTTTGGGAGGAAACTGAACGATGTCAGGGTTTGTAGCGAATCGACTGCTCCAGTTTTGGTTTTGAATCAAAAGCGAACATGAATTTAGCGTAACCACTGCACTGTGAGCACATTGTTCGATGGCTTCGAATATGCGTTTCTCGTTGTTTGTCGTCTTTGCAAACAAACGAGACACATCAATTGCTCTCAGAAAAAAGGACGTTTCCGGGAATAGACGCATAAGCTCATTCGTTTCTTAAGAACTCTAGATCCCAGAAATAAACTTTTTTAATGAGAAAAATTGTATTACCCTTTTAAAACATGGTCGTAGTATACTTAAATCAAATGTAAGGGGAAAAAATAGCGCGCCAATGATTTCTAAATGAGCTACCCTACATTTACTGCAGATGTGTGGTGTCTACAGTCGCCGGAAAATTATGCCTCAAGTTGTTGACTTTTGAAATCGCGAAAATGATGTTACCTTTTTCATTTTAGAATAATATTCGTTTACATCTGATGCAATTGAAAAGCATTGTAAGTTGTGGTTCTAACTGAAGAAAATTAAAGAAATTATTGAAAGGAACAGTGGAAGGGGATTGTGCAAAGTTGTATTCAAAATTCGTGGAATCAATTGATAGAACTTCATGGAATGAGTTCAAAAGACAAATTGAAACAGCTGTCCTTATTAAGATCGTATTTATTCATACTATTTGATGTGGTTGCATAGAAATTACCGTCCAAAGCCGTTTTCTTCCAGTAGTAAACAAGGCAAAAATGTAAGCATTGGTAAGCATATTAACAGACCTTTCATACTCGTTTCTGTACTCGGCGAGGGAAACTTCCTTAGGTGTTACTTGAATAAAGCTATTCAGGGACTGGTATTTTCTTCTTTGATATTAACAATGCTAGTATTAGTTCGCTCGAGCATGAAAGCTCACGAATTCATTTTAGAGGTTTGAGTGTCTTGAGAGTCTAGGAAGAAGGCAGACGCCGAAGAAAGGTTTTCGCAAAGGGATTTCCTATATAAAAATCTTGAACATGCTCTTTCCCAAATGAGCAGTACTAAGAGATACATGAGCAGAATACAAACCTATTTCAGATGAGTTCATAATGCCATATGGTGTGACTGTTTGTGTATTTATCTCATGGATAACCAGCAAAATGGCGCATGAACTATGTGTATTCTGACTCAATTTAAATCTTTGTAAAAGGAGTTGTAAAAGTATTGATGTCTGCTTCCCTTGTTACCTTGTAGTAAGTGAAGAGAACTATAAAATTATACCTCGACTGATTTGTTGCAAGAGTTCTGTGCGCTGTAATAAATAAAAAACCAGGCATGTCTGTGTTGGGATGAATTTTGGCAAGCAAGACGACCGATTTACTGCATAAATCTGACATCAAATATCATGATTCCTTTAAGATTCAAGAATTTTTATTTGTTAAGACTTGTAGCCTATTTACACCAGCAAAACATGTTTAATCAAAACGGTTTTAACTCAAAAGAATATCAGAAACAGGCAACTGAAAAACGTAATTTTCCATAACTGTTTCAAGTAGTCAGTAAATTGAATTCTTCTATGTGCTAAATTTGAAGTCGCCGAAGCATTGGTTTTAGCAGCGTCCATGTAGAAAACAAATTTAAGCTATGATAAACAAAACAGCTTCCAAACATGTTTATGTCTAGATGTGGATGGGGTTTTCGTAAAGAAGAGGACAATAAAAAAACAAGTCCCATACTACAAGTTCGCATGAAATGCAAGAGAAGAGGAGGTTCAATCTTGCTAAAAATCTCAGATTTGGGGACAAGTAAGACGAGCGCGAGAAACGTACCACTATGCTATTATACTGATCTGTGAAGGTTCAAAGGTTTCCCATCAAAATTTGAGACTCTTTGTTTAAGAAAATCCTTCAGAATTCGTGAATCTTCCCTAAAGAACCGTCTTCTGCTATTATGTCACCATATAATCGTGTGAGGGTCTCGTGATTAATGCTCAATTAATTTTAGAATTTACTCCCTGCTTATTTTTCCTCGCTACAATACACCTTTGTTAAAAATTAGCAATGTGCTAAAGGTAAAGCCAAAGCTGCTAGGTAGGAGCCACCACGTTTTTATATGAGTGCAAATGAATTTGTTCAAACCGTTTAGGACTGTTCGATGTCCAAAATTGCCAGCCTTGTACACTGGTTATAACATTACAGTTTACATTCGTTTTAGTAGGAAGGTGAGATATACAGGCACAGAGAGAATCGTAAACAGTTACTTGAGGATGAAATATTCGCTGAAGATATCTTAGGAAGCGATGGATTAGCATTTTTGTTGGTCTAGGAGCCAAGAATAAGGGAGCTTTTTATTTGCAATAATTTGTTTTAATAATTTCTTTTGTTGTGATATTCTTTTGATTTTTCTTAGGCCGGCTAAAAATCATTTCGATGAAAATATGTATAGTACGCTTTAGTCCAGTTACATTCAATCTTAAAATTTGAAATTTCACGGTTTCCTGGAAGTCTATCTGTCTACATTGTGACGAAAACTTGAAAACTATGATCCGAGGAAGCAGCATTTGAAAGGGGGTTGCAGGGGTGCTACTCCTGTTTTGTGACTACAAGAGCAAGAAAACCAAACAAATTCTCCAGAGACATGAAAATAGTTTTAAAATCGAGCGTTTCATTTATCGTTCAAATGTTTCTGTTCTTGTGTGTTTATTTTCATCGCTTCGTAGTAATCTCGATTCCTAGAACGACATGACGCCATTGGGTGACCCTTGATATCTTGTAGAAAAGGCAATGACACGCGCAATTTCTAAGAAATCTTCCTTTAAGATTATTGCCGACTGGAAGGAAACTCTTTCTAAAACTACACAACGAAGAGTAAAACGCAAAAACGTCACGCTGGAGTCTTTTTGTGAGACAGCTCGGTTTTCCACGCATTGCTCTTATTGTGTTTACTGAGATAACTTCTCTCCCATGCTTCTGTTGTCAATGCTAGATTATTTTTCGAAGAGGTTACCAAGAAAAAGTTTAACTTAGGAATTGATCGTGCTACTATCTTACGTGCTATCGATAGAGTAGTGCGATAGTTGTTGTAAGTACTTTACAAACGTTATTTCATTATTTTCGTCTTACTGCGAATGCACGAGGCTCACACATTCAACTCTATGATTTAAAATCCAGCTGGGACCCATTCAATAATATTACAAACTACGGGAAAATATCCGGCTACCTTTAGTGCAAGCAAATTGCGGATGATATTTTGTAACATGTTACAGCATTTCCTAGCTATATCTAATTTTCTTCCTAACGTTGTGAAGCTGTTCCACGTGTTTTAGATAGGAAGCGTCATTAGATTCGATACGAAAATGCCGCTTAGCCCAGGCAGGTCAAATTCAGTCAACAGCACGGCTTCACAAAATGTTCATGGACTGTAAAACATTCACTAATACATATTTTGGCAACATACGCCATACTGCCTGCATGTCTAATGATACTCTTTCGAAGATTGTGTGACAAAAGTTGAATTACGAGCTGAGGTTTTGGCCTGTTATTTATCATACTGAGCAATAGAGAAAGATATCGATTCAGACCGGGTAAACTGATTGAAAGAAACCGTGGGGTTAACTGAGTGATTTTATCGTTGATACAGCTGAGCTGTTTGCTTTCGACATGACGCATTTCATACATTGTTTATTAACATTCCCCTTGCTTATTCTGAGGTTTCTTGCAATCATTCGTTTGTCATGCAATTGAATGCTGGGGGTTCCCTGTTCAGATTTAATTTGTGACTGATTAAAAATGATTACTCGGTTGGCAAGATGCAACTTCAATCATCATCAGTTGTGATTTTTAGAGGATTCTGTTTTTGTGAGATCAATGTACAATTTTCTAAAGGTTCGTTTTTATCTTGAGGTTAAGCTTTTGCGTAGATGATCCTCCGGGTTTTTCAGCTGCACATTCGTTTCAAACAGATAATCCACTAACGTCAGGATTTTACCTTTCCTTTGCTGTTTTGATTCCTAAACCTACGACCACCCCTCGTACATGATTCCTACGGAACAGTAACAAAGTTTATAATGCCATACTTTCTGGTTGTTTTTCTGTTTTTGTTGCCATAATTTTACATCTTTATCTACTTATGCGCGTATTTTCTTTAATTTATAGCTTAACTTATCTTACGAAATGGTCCTATACATTTAAATGAACTCAGCACTACAATATGCCTTTGAAAATTTGTTTTTATTCTTGTACTTCAACATGTAAATAAAGCAATGATCCCTGCTGGTGAGTTGCAATTTTAGCAATTACAGAAAAGAACCTTGAACTTCAATGGGCTTCGAACCCATGCCCCCTAAATACTAGTATGTGGTGATATCGCCATCTAGAATCTGGAAGGAACCGGTTAGAATACCGTCGGAGCCTGAAATTTTTTTCAGGCTTCTTTTCAGCTCTTCTCCGAGAACCATTGCTTAATTACTTGATTTTCATGCTCAGGTCAAATGAAATTTATTTTATCAAAAATTATGATCAAATCAAGAGAATATAAGCAGTTGATAATCTCTTGGATCTAATTTAATATCTGTTACAATTAGGTCAGAGCTGGTCACGATGTTACCAAAGTACTGCATTATATTGGCTATCTTTTTCAAGTACGGAATTTGCGGCCATGGGAGAAATATTTCTCGGGAACTGAATGGCACTATCACTGGTAACCAGACCCTCACGCATGCAGAAGGTCCATACTTGGTAACCAGTGACTTGGTTGTCGCAGAGAATGCCACTCTTGCCATAGAACCTGGTACTCAGATAAATTTTCTTCCATCTGTGGGGATTCGCGTTCATGGATCATTAAATGCAAAAGGGACACCTTCACACAGGATCACTTTCCGAGCGGTTCCTTGCAAAGACGCACCTTCTTGCAAGAACTCAGCCATACCTTACAATCAAGGAATACGGCTTGTTGGTGGAACCTCCCACAACAACGGCCGTCTGGAGCTACAATGGCGGGGACAATGGGGCACTGTCTGTGGCCAGTATTTTTGGGACATGAGAGATACACGAGTGGCTTGCAGACATCTTGGCTTCCTCGGAGCAAAGCGTTATTACTTCCACCCTGGCAGTGGCCGTGTGTACATGAAGTTCGTTGAATGTACTGGATACGAAGAAAGCCTTTGGGATTGTCGCTATTCCTGGGCTTATTATTATCCTTGTGGTGAGTTATCTCTTGTTTATGTAATACTATGCAGTTTGAAGGGCTGGAAATACGTTATGGACGGCTCAGGCTAAACTAAGGACTATTTTATGATCTAAAATGGAAATCTAGACAGCGAAACGATTAATGGAATGGATTTCAGCGGTATATTTTATATTTTTTATATTTTCGAAACCGGAAGTGTTTATCGACCAGATGCCAATTTTGCCTCCTACAAGACAAGTGTAACTGATCATGGGAAGACCCGTCTGGTGAAAGGGACAGGTATATGGATTTATTTGGGAAATAATAACCTAACAGCCCCTTTAAGTCACCCGCGAAGCCATGATATGGAGGTGTGCAAGGCTGTTCGCATCTGATAAGTGATAGAGATATACCACTAATAGGAGGCTAAAATTAACCAAGCAACGTGTCTTTATTGTTATTTATCCGAGAAATGCATGTATAATAAAGTAGGGGCTGTGCGGAAATCTTGGCAGGTAAGTTTTTGTAAATACATGTACTATCTCAGACCTTACGCTAGAGAACACCATTTCAATCTTCTGAGCAATTTGACCTTCAGATTAAGCGACAATTTGTTCCTTGCTCGAGAATTTGTGTGCTTGATCATCCGGGCGAGGGTAGTTCTGAGAAGGAATAACGTCGATAGCAGTTAATGACGTTTCTACAACGTGAGCAGAAGTCATCATCAGAGTCAAGTGAAGAGTCGTTGTCAGTGAAGTGTTATAAGTCCGGTTCGCGTGGACAGATTGGTTAGTTTAGCCGTGATTTAATTGGCTGTGAGACTCAAGTGGCCTAAGTCGGTCTTGATTGGTCAGTTTTGATCCGTCGGTAACGTTAGCATATCAAACTCTTTCCCCAGTGCGACGAACATTTGTTTTTCCGGTTCCAGGTGTACGCAACCACTAACCCCACGTAATGCGCATGCTCTCCGTTACGAATTTTCAAAATGGCGGACAGGCCAAAGAGGGAAATTAAAGAAACAAAGCGATTTTTCAATGAATACTCAACATACACCCTCGTTAGAAAGGCGAATCCACGGATGAAAGATACAAAACTGTATGATATTGAGATTGACATGATATTAAATCGATACTGAGGACCCATTTCTAACTTGCTTAGAAGTGCATTTAGTTGGCTTCCTCCACGATTACTAGCTTTCTTGACAGCTTTCTGAAGACAGAATACTTTCTTTCTGAAGACTTCTGATATGCGGCTATTGATTATTACACCTCGTATATCTTATTGCTCAAACACTTTGTTTACGATTGTTGAAAGGAACGACTCATGGTTCTCCGTCTTCGTCTTTACATTTCTTTGAAATAGTATAGATTAGTAAGCTGACATGAAAAATTAATCAGGAAAGTTTACGAAAAATCCAGAAAACAAGCTTAAAAAGGGCATTTATTTAGACTTCATATTTCAACGAACTTCACAAATCTTACCTGTTTATCTTGTAAATAAACGATGGTAGATTTATTCCCGAAGGGCTTTCTGAGTTTCCCGATCCCTCTCCTACTGCTTTCACGCTTACTAAACAGGAAAAAATCAAAAGGAGGAAGATAAAGCTGTTTTGAAACGCCATTTGACGAACGTAAATCTGCTTTTTGTTCGACACTATACATATCAAAACAAAGGAAATTTGTTCCTCTTTTTGATTCTGACGGTACATTTTTAATTTGCGCCTGCGTAAAAGAGATATCGCCCGAGACCCTTCGCTCGGTCGTGTTTTGATCAAAAACGCCTTGTTAATTTCACTCAGCCGCTCGGAGAAAAGGTAAAAATGACGAGGGAAAAACCTTACCTTCAAGTTAGGAAATTAGCGAAATAGAAAGCCACAATATTATAGTTTAATATTTCAGAGGTACAT